AAAATAATAAAAAAAAAATTCTACTACTTATATAGAGCAAATTTCTCGATCAACAGCAATCTCAATGCGTTTTACAATCTATATTATTTTATTACAAGAACCAAGCATGAATGGCTGGTGCATCTACATGTATAAATAAATTATTAACGGTTTTCTACACCCCCTGATCTTAGGGTAGGTACGGTCGAGCATCTAGTCATCTCAGATAAGGACGGAAATTCTCTTTTATGTCTCATGTGGGCGTTTTACATGTTATAGATTCCTTGATGGTTCAAAAATTGAATAGAGAAGGGCCATTTGGGCAAAATTCTAAATTAATTCATACCCAAAACTGAGGCCACTCTAGTCAGTATATCTCCCAGGAGAACTGTCGAAAACGGCACATGCTTGCCTGTTGAGCCATGGATGATTCTACGTACTGTTTTATGGGGGGGGGGGGGGAGGTTGGTAAGTGATTTTTTACGGCGCTCGCACCTACTTAAAGTAACAATATGAGCGCGGGAGACACATTAAACATTTTCAATTTGGTAGGAATAAATTTTGAATTTTGCTCGGGTGGCAGCCAAAACCTACTCTTGTCGATTTTAGGACTATTTTAGGATATTTAACGAGAAAGCTAGGTATTATATTAGATCGTACCTACCCTAATACCATGGGTGTGGCTAAGAAACAGTAGTAAAAAGGAGCCAAGGAGTAGCTGTAGAAAGGCTGCAGAAAGAGACAGGAGCCTAGGGGAGGGGGCAAAGGGGAGGGGGAGACGGCAGAAAGTGGAGACAAAAGCAGAATGACTAAACATGGTTAGAGAGCAGGAAAGGAGGTGAAAGAAGAACATTTTACGGAAATAAAAAAAATTTCCGTCGCTGTCAAGTTTGAACCCTGGACATGTTGAATGAAAGACCAACACCGTACCTATAGATAGCGTTTGCTGCAGTTAACTTCCACCCTGGGTTGTGAAAACGACATAGAAACGGCCGATCACCAGAGCTGATTAGATGTAGACCTAGCAGTTTCGTGGTACATATACCCGTACATGTATTGCATTGTCTCTGAGGTGGATGAGGGTTCGGTGGGCGAGGAGGGCAGCAAGACTGCGATAACGACGTCAGGTTATCAATAAATGACGTAAGAGCTTCTTCAAGGATGGTAGTGACCGTGCAGTATGGTTATGAGAATGATGTTCAGGAAAATTCCTCGTAATAAATCACATGTATACAAACTGTGGAATGTGTATGAGATTGTGTGACTGATGATGAAGCTGAAGGGGATGATGATAATGATGATGATGATGATGATGATGATGATGATGATGATGATGATGATGATGAT